AGCAGAAAGAGGTAGATGCCCGGCATACACATCTACAATTGAAAATACCCCTGCAAGACCAAGGGATCTGTGGAAACTCCCGAGCAGGGACCATTGAGGCTAAGGCAAGGCTCCTGGCTGGATTACGAGTTCTTGGGCACTTAGCAGACCCTACACATAACACCCTCATGCTCCGGAACAAAGACGCGGGATGGACAAAATCAATCGCCGCTTGGTCATTTGTCTACGGACATGTAGCTTGCCGTGCGCAACGAATCAAGCGCAGCTTGTATGTTTACCAGTCTTGATCATGGTCAAAAAAAGCCGCGGTGTGCTTTACAAAAAACTGTTTCCCGCAGTGCAAAGCTGACACGACTCAAAATCTCCGCTCTGAGATGTCAAAAATTGGTGCGCCGTTGCCGTACCAGCACTGATTGGCCCGCGAAACTCCAACTCATCAAACTGAGACCAAGCACGCCCGATGCCGCACATCCTGCTGAAACCCTCTCTCTTCTTCTTCTCAAGACTATGTGCCTCCCCATGCAGAAGAGAGACACCATTGCACAGCGCCGAGACCGCGTCCGTCCACAAGTCCAACTGGGGAGGGCCCAGGTACTCTAGATGTGCAAGGCCAGCTGCCTCAAGAGCACTCTCTCTATACGTACCTAATAGTGTAAGCACTCATCCTCTCGGGCTTGACGCATCGCCTTCCCTGCTTCTCCAGCCGGGTTCTCTCTCTCTCTCTCTCTCACCCCTCGCGCTCTCTCTCACGGCCATCGGACAAGCTGACGACCAAGCCGAGCAAGTTGCAAAAGGGTTGCGCCAACAACAACATGGGGACTGTTGAGCATGAGTTGTCAGAACCCAGCAGCATACTGCACCTTTATCAAACCTCAGAAAGCCTCTGGCCCCTGAAAACTCTCCCTATTGCGAGCACCACCAGAACAATGACAGGCAGACTTTATATGACTATTATAGTCCCCAGAAAACTCTTCCTGACAAACTTAGTCACGAGAAAGCCGTTGTGATCCAAACTGCCAAGGCACCAGATCCATAGCCGTGCTGGCGCGTGCAGCAGCAGCAGGACGTAGATGAACTTCCAAGACATGTGTACCCGCCAGAACCTCAGATAGGCATGTGCCAAATCAGGATTGGCACATGGACATGTCGCAAACTGAGCCCATATCTAATTCGACGGTCCTTGTTAAGTAGAACCCAGAAAATAATCACCTGAACCCCTTACACTTAAACACTCCAAACCTCAAAACCTCAGACCAAGATCCGTGAACCCTGCGTCCCAAATCCAGGCGAGACCATGGCCTTCCTGAACGTCCAGTAACTACACGTGACCCAGGGCTAAGCTCTGGTTTGTACTGGATTCTGCATTTCCTAAGAAAGTTCATGATTTCCCACTGGACAGGTAGGACCTTTTTTCAAACATAAACCTAAAATCCTGAACGCTAAACTCCGTTCCCTAAATCATAAAACCTAGACCCTGAACCCTGAGCCTTAAACTGAGTGCGCCACAGGTTGAAGCCTCCGAAGCGCCGGGACAAGCAGTTTGTGCCGCGACGCGAACAGGGCAAGGCCTTGCCAGGACTGATGGAATTGTACCGTACATAAAGTACATAGGTCAGCATTATCGGGTATGTAGGGTACATAGGCTTGACAGGATTTCAGGTTTCTCGGTTTGGGGCGTATAATATCCTTCGGGGCTTGGGCGGGGATAGGGCTTTGGTGCTGAGGCCTTCTGGCATCGCGTGCAGGGCTAGAGGTTTAGGGCCTGAGGCTATGCTCACCAGACTGGCCAAAGATCTGGACACTCCTTGACCCTTCATGGGAAACTGGCCCGTGGTTCCACACCTCCTCCCAGATTATGCGTTTGGGTTTGCTACACTAGCTCCAGGTGAAGCCTCTCAAGACTGCGTACAGGCCCCATAGTCTGTTGTGTTCCGATTAGAGGGTACGCAGCCTACTACCCTTTAGAGATAAGCGTGCCAGCATTCTAGGTGCAAAGCCCAAGGTGCATTGCACCTACTTGAGACAGGGCTGGGTAGTTCGGTCAAGGCCGAGGCAGCAACGTGCATGAATGACAGACTGCACGATAATAGCATTCCTACAAAGTAATAGTGTTAATAGTGCCAGCGAGATAAGTGGTTGGTTGTCTGTATGATTATACGATGCCAGGATCTGGCTTCATTGCTTTTCTTTGCTATTGGCAAGCCAGTCTGCTGCTTTGGCTCGTAGTGTTGCTTTCCATGGATGCAGTGAAGTCCCTGGCTTCTCCAGACTCTATGGACCTTATGCTAGGGATCAAAGTATACAACTAGTACTTACATTGGGCCCTAAACTCTATAAATGTTACCTACATTTTGGATCCCTAGGGTCATTTTTTCCGGAGAGCACCTTGAATGAGAGCCCCTCATATACGCGGCTCAAGCGATCTGAGAAGCTGACGGTGAGTAAGATGGCCAACATTAGGCAAGTGAGAATCCTCAGAGGTCAGTGGGCGTTGGGTTCAGGCCTATAGGTTTAGGGTTCATATTAAGGTCAACAGGGTGTAGGATATACGCTAAAGTCAAAAGAGAGTTCCCGGGTTTCTTGTAAACATTGTCTGGGAGTGTAGCTGCTTCGTATTGAAGCCGGTACGGAGAACCTGACATGTGGACTTATGGAAGCAGTGCAGCTTGACTGCCAATTTCACCCGGCACTACAAATTCGTAAGCTCGAAGCCGTGAACCTCTCGAACTACACTCCCACACTCCCCAAAACCGCTCTGCCGGAAACGGGCTCAGAGCGAATCAACCCTCAAAGACCCTCAAAGACATCTGCCCCCACCTGCATAGAAGACAAACTAAAGAGATGCTCAAAATAGGGTGAGCTACCAGTTTAGGGGATGACACACCACAAAGATGACTGAGTCCTGTGTTTGGTTCAGGTGCTTGGAATTTCAGCCGAAGTCTAACAGGACCTATTTTGGAGTTAGAAGGCCGACAATGTCTTTGAGGGCCAGCTATGGACGTTATATGCTATGCCGCAGACATTCAAACAATTACTGAAGATTGTTTCAGACAACCCTTTTACTTGCTGGTTGCTAGGAGGCATGGATCCTTATGGTAGCTCCTAGGATCCAGATAGCTCCCAACAATAGTGAGGTTCCCTTTCCACCCTGCAGCACCCCAGCTTCCTGAAATCTTTCCATGTAATGCTCCATTCCCTACTAACAACCAGCAACTGTACAGAGAAGACTTGATGCTGCTTGGGCCGAAGGACCGTGCTAGAGCTTGAAGGTGCGTCGTCTACTTCGGAACCCAATATCTAGAGCAGGATTATTGGGATATGATAATCTTGCCGATCAATTCTGATCTAGAAGGCTACTCAGGGCGAATCATTCTCATTGCTTCCACATGATGCGAATGCGTCCTTGAGAAAGAACGCGGGCAATGAACTATACTCTTGGAACAACTATGTATCTCAATGCGCTGACTGGAACCCCTTCTGAATATGAAGGCTAACCGTCTGCTGTGTCAGCATTCGTGCGGTATACAACTGCAGCGGTCTCCATTGCATTCCGAATGTTCTGCGACCAAAGCCGACCAGAACGTTCCCAAGAAACCCCGATCGCATTTTAGAGAAATTTATGCTTGCTGGAAGCTTGCATAACAATATGACTGGGACGTCCTACAATTCTGAAGACCAACCCTACAAAATCCACATGGGTGAAATTTCTCAAACCGGAGCAGGCCTGCATCCAAAAAACGCGATGCTAAGCCTACAGCTAGCCTACCGCCCTTAGACCTATAGTGCCAACAGGGAATCAGAAAACTCATGCCCCAAGAGCGCAAACCTTCCCCACAGACCCCTGACTCAGGAGGATGGCCCTAGAAGCCTCGCAAGAAAACCCTAAGCATGTTTAAGCTACTGTAAACGAACTGTAAAGAGGTTCATTGGACGAGCTACAGACCCGTCAGGACAGCGCAGCGATTTGAGAAGTTCAGGAGCTGATGGAAAAAAGTCATCCCGCTTGTCATCTCCTTCCAAGCGCCTACATCTCAATCCCGTAAAGCTTGGGGTGAGTATGGGTTGACGCGCATGCAAGGTTTGGGGTAGACTGGTCTGAATCCAGTGATTACCTAACCAAGCAGGAGCCATCACATTAAAGTCATGTGCATGAGTCCTCTCTTTTGGGGTAGACATGTCATTTCGCGCAGGTATACCTTTAATGCCAGAATATCGCATGAGGAGCTTGGGTGCTCAAGGATCTGAAGTTTGGGAATCAACGTCGGAAGGTTTTGGCCTTAGGCCTGCAAGGGCCAGAAACACCCTCACTTCTGGGAGGACTTAGAAGGTTGTGGTGGTCCATACTTTCAGATCTGACTGTCGGAGGGACATAAGTAGATTTAGACGCCGACTGGGTCTTGTTCCCATGAGATTTCATGCTGGTAGGTCTAAGCACGTTCAGCGCAACCTCAAAAGGCTGGAAACTGGGAAATGCTACAGATCATGGAATATGAGCCGATAACTACTGGGACGCTGGAAGACTGGATCACCGACATGGCTTGATCATGGCGTCCTTAACCTGCTTGAGAGGGGGTTGTCTGTGACTTCCTGTGAAAGCATGCTCCTATTGCTATACTAACCTACGCAAAAACTCAAGTTTTGCATGGGCTGCCAAGAAGGAAGGCTGCAAAACGCCTGTCCATGTAGAGCAACCCTGTGAGATGCAAATCTCAGACTCCCAAAGATGCAAATCTCAGACTTCCAAGAGCAAACCTGTTCGGCATATGCGTCAGTTTGAGCGTTTACCTGAACCTATGTGGCCGTGCAGAAAGTTTGTCAAGCCGGGAAATTGTGCCGTCGGAGGGGGATGCGGTTAGGGATCTAAAGCAGGCTAACTCCCACACTGAGTCCTTCCACATGCTTTTTGTCACAGCGCTAGCCCCAAACCCCTAGTCCTAAATCCGGACATCACAAGCCCTGAATGCTGGATTTCTGGTCAAGAAATCCTAGACACTGTCGTCCTCTGCACTCAGCTTCCAAAGATGAAGGGGGTCCAGTTGTATCAGAGGGGCAACTTTGATGGAGTAGGCATGCACCTCGAATCAGAATATTGAGGAATCTGGGGTTACGCTCTGGGTTTGCGGTCAATGTTTAATATCTTGGCATAACGAAGTGCCCCCTCCTATTCATGGTTACCACAAAGGATCAGCGCAATCGTTGTAGGGTCCCAATATGCCCCCGTTGTACCATTCTTAGTGAGTGCGGTGACCCCCTAAGGTCCAGGCTTAGGTCTAAACGCACTTGGGGTGTGACAGGCGCTTGGAGCTTTGGGTTTCTTCCTGGGACTTGTTGGAAGGATTTCGGGGGGCTTCAGATTTCGGAAATAGCCTGAAGCTGGAATTGACAATCAGAACAGGGTTCAGAGGTAGGTCATAATTTAATTGTTTAAGGGCTATAAAGGAACCCTCTTTGATTATTCGGAATTATTCGGGCTTCTACATGACTTCCCTCTAGGCTCGACGCCAAAGCCCTCAACCCCTCTCTGCACCCGCTCAGGACTGCTTAAGAATATCGCTTGTGACGCTTCTTGTTTACCGAATGCTGATTCCTAGCCTCAGCCTCAAGAAAACATGTATAATCATATCAGATATGAGGATAATGTGTTGCAGCTTGTCGCGATGCCTAGCGTCATTCGGACTGCTCGCAGTCCCCGTAAGAAATGCGCACGTCCAACGTTTAGCGTTTCCTTCTTGTATACCGCGCAAGACTTGAAGCCTGATTATTGGGACTCCCGAAAGAGATCCACCATTTTGGAAAGATGGGCGCGCCCATCTCCGAAAATGTAAGGATCTCATGATATCTCATTGGTTGTTGAGGATTGTGCTGCAGAACGCCGGTTTTTCCACACTTGCATGCCTTGCATGAAGAAAGCTATGACTCAATTTCTCACATTAGGTTGGTCAACGCATCTAGACAATGCCACCCTACACAGTAATGACCTGTAAGAATCGGTGCTCTCAGGCGTCAACATCTCATCTGGAAATATCCCCCATGCTAGTCTGATCCGGCTTCAGTACTTGTCAGCCAGGGTCCTTTGCCATTATCCAGTGTTGTTCGGCTGACACTTTCTGCATAGAAAAATACCCGCTTCGACATAATCCCTGGACACATAGCACAAAGATCAAATTACATCAAGGGTGGCGTCAGCTTGGCCAACAGAGCCATGGCGCACAATGGGCAACAATGTGAATGGCGGCACCAAGAAATGTGAAGCCAGCAATGACGATATGGAAGTTGATGGGGTCCTCAGCCGCGCATCTCTACCTGAAGACTCTAATGCATACGTGCCCAAGATCCCATAACAAAGTAGCGAATACTTCCTGCAGTCAACTGAGGCTGTGGAAGCTCCTGGGCCCCTTTGTCTTAGAGGGTCATTGACCGACCCGGTTCGCAAAGCCCTGCCCCCTGCGGAACAATCCACAAATACCAATGTTGTGGTCCCTTGATGGCTTCCAAGGCCCAGGCACCCACAGCCAATCTTCTATCAGAAAAGCATGGCTCCCATTATGTACTGTCCAGCTGATGCTTGTCAGCGAGCTAGTGGCAACAGCCCTTTTCCGGAACCAAGCTCGAAAACATCAACGCGAGCGCGCCACCTTCACCTAAACAAACACAGAAGCCTTGTGCTGGCCATTTCTCGATTGACCGTAGTCTTTGTACTTCCATGACAAAAAACTTGTGCTTGAAGGAGCGCACACCCTGAATTTGCACTTGCAGCCTCGTGGCGTCGATCGGAACCCACTCTCGAGACGAGCTTACCCCCCTGGCATGGCCATGAGTCTACAACAGACTTCCTTCACATGGGCGGTTTTTCTAAAAAAGGGTACCGCGAGGGGTGCTCTGCATCAACCCACCGCGAGGTGGAACCCCCAGTTCAGCATCCCCGGCTGCTGGGCAGAGGGTCATTCAAGGCCGGCCATGGGAACCCGGCGCTGGCCTTATAATCCCGGCATGAACAATGCCTATCGCTAACCACGAGAAGTAGAAGCTGAACATCGCGCGTGGTGTCCCGTACAAAATCTTGCGCCACCATGATTTGTACACTGTCTCAAAACATTGCACACACTATGTTTAAACAGTACTGGTCAATGTCAACAACTCGGCAAGAACTGACCTTAGTTGAATGCTTCAACCATTCTAACAACACTCGTACCCAAAATGAGGCTGTCCTATCTTTGATGATCAAGTACCTACTACTCACATACTACGCGCAATCCATGACTATGTCGATCCTTCTGAGTTCTAGAGAAACCCGACAAAAGTGGGCACTACGACCATTTGCATATTGGAGCGCTGACGGTTGCAGGAAGTTGGCAAATAATGATGGATAAGTACAAACTATGTTTCCTTACCGCCTGGTGCGAATTGAATCTCAACTGCATCTCAAGACTCGTCTGTTCGGCTCATGTACCATATAAACCGCATCTGTGACCTTGTGGCCGTCTGCAAGCTTTTCAAAGTCGGGAGCACCAACATGGCGAAATTCCTTGGCAGAGCTCAGGAGCTTCAGGTTGTCTGGTTGAGGGTTAAGCCAAGTACTGGCTACTTTGCATCCGGAGACCTCATTATACCAGTACCCGACCAGTTGGGAGTTTCGCAAAGTAAGGGTCCCTCTATCCACCTTGCAAATATGTAATTACAGATCCGAATGAGGACCTCAAAAAGCTTGCAAACTCAGAAATCCTCAATGCCTTGACTGCAAAAGGAATGCCATCAAAGCAGGAGTCGAGTCCTCTTGATGTGTACAAACCCCACACTTCTAGATTTATACTTTGCAGGTCCTACATCAGGCTTACATGGTTCGCAAAAGCTCCGCTAAGGCAATATCTGATGCCCCTGACATAAACCAGAGCAAGAACAGCCGGTAAGCATTGCAAAGACTATTCAATCAATGTTTTGCTGATGACCCAATTCTCCCAACCCTGCACCCAAATTCTATGCAAGTTCTGTAGGATGTAGAAACCTACTGTGCGGATAATAGTCAAGGACAAATGGATCCCAGACCCTTTGGCAAAACCTTCGGCACCAAAGCTACACCAAAAGGGATCTAGGAAGCCAAGGAATCCTTCCAAGGGTGGGGTCTCCACATCATATGTCCCCTCGCCTCATGTCACACGCCAGCCAACAACCCGCAACAATATGTTTCAGAAGCATACACATAGCACTAGAGGCCCAGTGTCAAATCCATGCTGTAACCGCCACCCTGGCAGAAAGCTGTGGCATGACTATGGTTCAAAAAATCAGGGATGGGTGGTGTTTGGAACCCTTTTGCAATAGCATTATACCTTCAGCCCGCACTGCATGTCGAAGAAGCACTTATCAAACCCTGAAGGTGGAAATGCATCACTGCCTGCTTCATGAAGTGCGGAAGGTTTCTCTCAAAGAGCTGAATAACTGTCCAGCTTTCATATAACTGGGTGCCTTGGGTCTTTGCATGGTTGGGTGTTCCGGTTTGCAACTTATGCAACCCCGGCAGTTGTTGCATGGGATTCTGAAGCTACGGCTTCGTGATTGAGACCATGCTGCCAGGCGTGCGATGTTGATGGCGTTACATGAAGCTCTTACTAAACACAGTTTTCAAGATTGTTAGGTTCCCTCCAAGGGCTGTACAGCCTGGGCTGCGTCCTTGCAATGCTATAGTCCCCCTTAAGTAGATAGAATATGGCTTTGGGTATATTATCGTAAGATCCCCATACACCCGATATTCTATCTACTTAAGGGGGACCATATACACGAACCCAAAACCCTGAGGCTAGGAACCCCGAATCCGAGAATGCAATCATAAACTTGCAGCAAGCCCTGCGGCCTTCGCAAGCCTTGGCATCAAGAGCTGGGTCGCAAGATGGCTTGCCATCTCCGTATTTGTTTGGGAGGGCAGTCTTTAAGGGGCAAAGGGGTGTACACAGGCTTGACCTATGGTGTATAGGACCCCATGTGAATATCTTTGTAGAAAGCTGTATACACATATACGTCTGTACATATATGTCGTACTCGGGAGTACAGTAAGGATTTTGGTTTTGGGCTGTGTGGTTTAGAGCCGGGATCAGTATAAGGAAGTTTGGCGGTTGGCTGATCTGCCTGAGGACTGAATGCCACGTAACTGGGAACCCTTCGTGTTCTGTTTAGATTTAGCAGGCCAGCTTTGAAGACTTGATTTAAGGTTTACAGGCTTGTGGGTGAATAACCTGCTCAGGTTCATTGGACACTGCGCTGCGGGGGCGGACTAGGCTCTTGAAATTGCATGTATGGGGATCCTGCTCGACCTTGATGCCTGCTCTAAACCTCCACTACAGTACTCACCTATCGGTCTGTATTGGAGATGCGCTTTGCATGTGACCTTGAACGGTACCGATAGACGTGATCATATTTCAAACTTGTCATCCCCGACCATGCTTATTGAAGCCGCGAATTCCATCCCTTCTGCAGAGGAAGAGGACTTTGTTTGAAATGTGGAGAAACCCAGACTAACTAAACAGATTTCGTCTAGATCTTCTTGTAGAATCTGGGTTCATGCCCTCGATTCTTCAAGCCCGGCGCCTTCCACCCGAATCTCTTCCCCTCAACACCCAACCGAGGTGCAGAAGGAGATAGCCCAAGGAATCCGAAGTCCAAGGCTCCGAACTCTCAACCTCACAGGCTCTGGAATTCATGAACTCGACGAGGCGCGGGTATGCCCAGGAGCCCTGAAAGCCTCATGGCTTTGCGGGAAAAGGGTTCAAGTTGGTCCTGGGGTTCCGGGCTTTGAGGTTCAGGCATAAGCCACGCGAGGGCTCTGTCGTGCCGGAGTTTCTGAGACAGTTTCGGGTTTGCGCTTGCGGGTTACCCAGGTGTTGACGGGCGCCCGAATGTCAGCCACGAATCCGCTCCCGCCCTTTTTCTACTCTGCTGCTTCTTGGTTTTGAAATGCTGTTTTGGCTACGTCCTGTTACTGGCCCAGCCTCTAGTGAAGTGTTGGTCCAGAGTGCATCATGCATGCAGATCGCGAAGACAGCAAAAAGTGACAAGGCATGAAATGCAGATACGCGATGTCTGTGCCGTTGCCTCCAAGCACATATAGTACTGATTGTCATTCAAATCTTCAGATGCGGCTTTGCCATGTTTCTCCAGGGCTGAGTCTGCCAGGATGACCGACACGCCTATTCTCAAGGGCCCCTAGGCCCAAGGTCAGGAAATATCAGCAGGTGTAGGTAGAGGTTTGGTTTGGATTGCTTTCGTACCTGCATCCGCTTCCTGGTCACAGCATCTCGCCCTTGGGTTGGAGGTCTGTCTCTCTACACAACTCCTCCGAGATCCTTCAAGAGTGACCCCAACAGCCCGCTTGCAGAACATACCTCTATATGTAGACAATAATGTTTACAATGCTGACCCACCGCTGTTGGTCTTGTTTCTTTGGGAGCCGAAGCGACACTGTTTGCAGCTCTGGAGTCGGGGTAGGGTAGTTCCAGGGTACAAGGCTTGAGGCTGGAGTTTTAATGGCTTCGGCTGCTTTAGGAACGGTGCGTTGATTTATCCACTTCCAGCCCTGGGATTCCAAAGTAGGTGAGAAAAAAGGAGCACTCTGAGGGCTAGTCACATCTACAAGGTGCATCCAGAGGCCTCATAATCATAGGACTCAAGTTACGAGCCCCAGATAACGCTCCCTAAGATGCATGTTCACTGCACCTGAAGCAAGTATTCACGTGCCTTGCTGGTTCAAAATGCCTACCAGCAGCATTCTAAGAGGATTATCACAGTCACCCACTTCCAAGCCAACTGTTAGCATCAATCCTTCAAGCCACATCTCTGCTGCAGTTGATGCCAAGCCAAGCAGCCTCCATTCAGGTTGGAAATGAAGCCAATGAAAAAGACGATGATGTTCAGCAGGCCATACCTTAACTGAGGAGAACAGGTGGAGCCTCATAGAAGAAAGGTCCTGTTGGCCTTTTTGGAACTGCCATCGTCTCAGACGGCTAGAAGCAGTGAAGGAATGCTCGAAAAAGCACACCCTGTAGCTGCCACTGCCATGCACAGACTCGCAAGACTTGCAGATGGTGATTCCAAGTAGCGCAGAGAAATGGTTGTACTTCACTGCGCGTAGCCATTTCTTCTGGCCGGGTAGATAAATAAGCAACCAACCCTTCACTTAAGCATGGTTTACAAAACAAGAACCTGTGGCCTAACCCCGAAACCTTGAATTCAACGCCCTGACCTGCAAATTGAACTCTCAAGGTCTTAGGTAGCGACGTGGTGGCGAATCACAACAGTAACCAGCATGCCGGCAACAACAAAGGCACTAGCAAGGACTTGAATCGAGGTACAAGTCTAAGCCAGGCGTAACTCGTTAGGTGTGCAAAACTTGAAGCAATCTCAGCATACATGCATGCACGCAGAATCGCAGTCCGAGGGAAGCAAGCAAGCAATTACCGGAAACCTATGGACAGACATGCCCCGGACCTTCTAGGCTTTAGACCAGTTATGCATGCCAAGGACATCAGCCCCTAGACTTGCATATTGCCAATCGGGAAGTCGTGAGCGGATCCCTATATACTTCCCAGAAGGAGCCTCGCAGTCCTTCATTGATTGCCTACAGTGAAGCAAGCAGGCCTAGCATAGATGCATTTCTGTCACCGTCGACCTTCAGCCCTCGACACTTTACTAAGCACAGTTAACGCCCTTAAAACCCTGAAGCCCCTGAACCTGAATAAGATTTTGCATATTAGTCCTTCCATTTCCTTTTGCCGCCATTCATTCCCACTTACCAACCCGAAGCCAAGAAGCAGCAAGGTTGTCAGATGCTGTTCGCCGAGGCCACAGCGCCGGAAGCAGCGGTTCAGGCTCTGAGCCCATGTCATCTTCTCCTGCAAGGCTTGTCAGGTTTGGTGGTTTGGGGGTTAAAGAATTCACTTTTCCGGGCGGGCTCAGGGTTAAAGGTTTTAGGATATGAAGGTTTTGGGGTCTGCCAGCTAAGGTTAAGGTTCTGAAGTTTCTTGTGTAGATACTTAAGCAACAGGAAAAGTCTCAAGGGTAACGGGATGGTCTCGGGAAATGCTTTCGGCTGTCGGTCTGCAGGCAGGTGATTAAAGGTCTGCCCAGAAGGACTCAAATGTACACAGGTAGTGCGATGGTTCTGGGTCCCACACTTGAAAATAGGGAAAACTGATCAAGAGACCCGTAGCGGAAGTCCGAACAGAAGGGCTTCTATTGTGCTACTAATGAGGACACGCCTTCCCAGAAGCAGGCTACGTGCGCGGTTTTCATAATGGTTCGGTTTATCAAGTGTGCCGTATAGAGGCAAGCCAACACTCACTTTGGAGGCACGGTTTGGGGGTTGGGCATACTTGAACCTATGGGCAGCTCCATGGGAACAGAAGTCTCCCAGCTGGAGAGGCCCCCCAAAAACGCTTAGACAGATCAAAGGCCGGTAGCATTGAATCCTTCCCTGGCCATAGACTATGAAAAGCACCCAAGAGGTTGCGGGGCGAAAGCGAAGCTGGCCTCGACAAGGAGAAGGTATACTTTCCAGGGCTGAGGGTGTCAGAGCTTCGTGTTGTTGAGCTTCAGAATTTCAAGCTTTAGGAAATCGAGCTACTTATAGTACTTATACCGTTTACACGGCTTCGAGATGAACTTCAGGCGTCACCCAAAAGCCCACACTCACCAAAAGGGTCTGGGACCAAGCAGTCCACCAGCGGACTTGTACAGCCCGGAGCTGTGTCACTCAGGGCGTTGAGGCTGACTCTTGAGCAGCGTCTTGGCATCCGGCTGGAGTCGCACAAGAAACAGATTCGGCGATTAGCGGAACGGGTTTGTCAAGAATTTCATGGTCGGATTTGATCTGACGCAGCTGCCTTCGCATTGTTGTGCAGACATTCGCAATCCATTTATTGGTCAATGGGAGCCTTTCTATGGAACGGATGCACGAAGTAGTCTGGAAGCCAGGACGAGATGAGAGGAGGATTGTTGTTCACCAACGTGCACGACATGTGCAATTTTGGGAACGAGGACGCCTCAATCACCATGGAACCAGATCACACAAGGATGTTCTGCCCTTCCAAGGTTAAGTTCTTTGGTGCATGCTGTGGTGAGCGCAAGACCTGTGTCGATGGCGTGGACGGCAGCTCGGTCATCGTGAATGTCCAAGCTTTGGCCTTGATTGAAAATGCAAGTACAGCACTCCGAGGCACACCCGCACAGCCAGCAGCACCCGATCCCCAAGGTTAACAATTTCTGGGCAAGCATCGGCACTGTGAACAGGGAGATCAGGAACGTGCCACCTATATTGGTGGTACATGAGCCCTGCAGGAAGGAAGGCTGAGGGGGGCCACGCGCTGTCGGGCAGCAATTTCATCAGAGAGCTGAAGCTTCACTTGATGCAGCGGCTACGTGGTGGCATCCCGATGTTTGTCAGGATGCCGAGCGCAAATGCCAACAGTGCGCTAGCAATACAGGGGGGCCGGTCGCCGGATCAGGTTGTAGACGAAGAACATGGAGGAGGCAAAAGCCGAGATTAAGTCCGACCAAACAGCTCATTAGCAAAGTCTCGGGAGGAAGAGTGACAGGGTGATCGCGAGCTCGCTGGTTTTGCAAATTTCCGTTGGGTTCGCTGATGTTGTTTGGGTTGCCGGAGAAGGCTGTTGAGGATCTGAGGTCCTGCCTGTTCGAGCTCCTGCCCGACTGTTTACTTGTTCCTTTTGAATTTTGGGGCTTGGACTTGGGACCCTTACCTCCTCCTTTCCCAGATTTCTGCTCCTGGTGTGGTATTTGGATATTTAAGGTCATACCCCAACCAGAGTGCATACTGGGGTTTAGAGGCTTCAAAGCGCTGCCATGCCATGTTTAATGGTGGTGGTGGTTGCCCGTTGCAGGCCAGTGCATGCAGAATTCACGAGTGCGTCCAGTGGACTCTACCATCAATCAACAACAACACTCACCAAAGCTTGTTATGGAAACTCGCACAGGCCCCTTTTAAGTGGTGTGAGGTGTTAGTTGAGGGAGGGCAAAGCCAAAGCACAAAAAGCAAGGCTACCACCAAGCTCAGGACCATAGCAGAAACCACTGACTAAAGAGGAACCAATGTGAAATGTCTATGTGCCCTGCTTGGTTACGGTAGCGCCCGGTATCCGTCTCTTGGTACATAGGATGAGCAGAAGCCTGAGAAACTCCTTACTGCAAGCTTGCAGCCCACAATTGTCTGAATATGATGGTAATGTGTCCCTTTCCTGGATGGAGAAAACTACCGTGTACAACTTATACAGTAGGGATTGCAATATGGGGAATCCTGAGTGGTGCAAAACTCCCCAGGTTTCCTGAATGCACCATATGCGTGGAACACACCCAGAACTACCCTAGGTCCTAGGTCCTTGACCCAAAGCCCTCCAAACAGGGCCCTAAACTTTGGGGAGCCATGCCTCCGGCATTGCCATCTCTGCAGCCTCCCCACGTGCACAGCTGAGGCCCGCTCTAAAGAGCGTTGGGAGCAGTGAGGAGTGGTAGTGAGGAATGATAGGGGATCAGGGTTTCGGGTTTAGAAGGGTCAGGTCTTCCATGGGGTCTGAGAATGGGAGGATTCAGGCATCTGGGGTTGGGGGGGCATAAGAACGATTGAATAAGGATAGGGCTGTGGGGATAATAAGAAACCCAGCGGAGGATTGCAGGAGGGTATTTTCAAAAGCTGGTTGTCAGAAATGCAAATGATCCATTCTGAAGCTCCCTCGAGCACTGCGTGCAGAAACCCAGAGCATCTGTCACTTTCAGCCTGACGGCTGCACATCCGGTGCCCAGCCTTCGAAAAGTCCTTCAATCTGGATAAAGCCAAGGGCGTTTCAGGAGTTTGAAGGGACGACTTGAAGCCTTGAACCCGGAAAAGCAGAACTCCATCCAAGGAGCCAGCAATGTGAAGAAGCTTACATACTGGCTACCCCAAACCATACACCCCAACCTGGAGATTCTGTGCGGAGAACCCTCATGAAATCCTCAAGGTAAAGACTTGAGCACTGAGAGACCCTGGAATTCTATCTGGTCAGTGACGTTAGCCGATATGTATTTGGGGGCATACCCAAAATGGCGGCTGCCTGAGATCAAGGACACTAAGCCCTGTACCCTAGACTTTATTCAGACCCAGCCTTTTCAGCGGCAGTTTCTTCATCACTGGCATATCCGTTCACTTTTTTGGCCCACTCCTTCCTGTCACGCAAGTGCCAACGCGTTGCTCTTTTGCTAGGGCTCGTTCACGTCGACACTTTGGTGATAAGGCTGATGTAAAGCTTGGTGCATTTGACATTTCAGCTCTGCGAAGCAATCTCTGGCGCTTCGGCTACGAGTCTACAAAGTATGCTGCTCAGTGACCTCTTGGCATGCTTTGGGCAAGTGGACCTTGTTGTTTATACTTGGCTGCGAAAAGGTGAAGAATTTCTCTGAAACCTGCTGAATTTCATGACTTGCATGCTACCTGCATGATCCCTAGCTTCGGGCCCCTATCGCATTGTGGGTTTGAATGGAAAACGGCATTATTATGGGAAGTTCCTATTTGTATCTTGACTCAGGCCAGGGCCGGACGCCACAGAGTTGAGGTCTAAGATTTAGGCACCAAGCACGGAATCGTAGATATAGGACGGTCAATAAATCTTAATTGTAGATCTTGGCTGCACACATCGGGCAGTACCCAACAGGCAGTGGGCACGCGACCATCCAGGCTTCCTTCTATGAATTTGAGGATCGGTGCGCCCGCTGAAGACGTGAAATACCCAGATCTCGTACATTTTTTAACCATTCATGCTTCCAGCTTTAGCATTTTGTGGCTAGGATCTATAGGCTTAACGTTCAAGCCCCAGAACTAGACCAAGCTAGATGCTCCTTTGTTGGGCAATGATCTGGCGACGCTTCTCCAATAGCTGCTTCATCCGCTCCTGCTCGAAATGGGGTGTGGAGCTGGGGGTCAAGGGCTTTTGTCCAGGGTATGTCACCATTCGTATATTTCTGGAGGCTGCTGTCGCAAACATGCTTTTCTTGAATAGCTAGGCCACAAACGTTGAGTGCCACGATTGTAGGCTAAGCGGGAAATGAAACATCCAAGACAGTCACACCTTACCGCCACCATCACAGTGTTACAGAGACATTGGTTACTTTCGCGAATCATTAAGTGCAAGCCCAAATCCATTACATTGACCATGCAGTCCTCTTTGAGAACCCACCGCAAGATGCGAGGCCTGTAACGCGAGGAACAGGTCCAGTGCCCTGGATGCCTGCACACTCAGGTCAGGGCTCCCTCTAGAATTGGGCATCGGCTCCACCCCGAAACAAAATTCCTTGCCGTTTTATATCAGGACCTCAACTGGGGAGACATGCATATACAGATACATCTAGAAACTATAGAAAAAAGCAATCTGCAAAATCAGAAAACAAGCCTTACAAATTCATCCCAACATGTTCGCCCATGGCCTGTTGATTACGTTCAACTGTACCCCACTTCGTGGTGAACTCGCCGATGCAAGATGCCAATTTCGAAGCGTCAGTGGCCCAATCAGCTTCGACACGGGCTTGTGGTTTGATTAAGGTGCTGATGCACTTCCGAACAGGGGGATTCTTTCTGGAGAAATGCAAGCGCCAACATTCTAGCATCCTCAATCGAGCATTCAGGACGTGAATTTGCTCGACCCTTTTATGGCAGCGCGTCACTTCTGGATGTTGCTTACAACCCACATAGGTGCTCCAACACGCAGACAGGTCAACCAGGAAGTGGACTCGAACCGTTGCCCTCCAAAATATGTGGGACAACCCCTTGCACGTACAGAAGCAATCGTTTATGGTTAATCGTCGTATAGCGGGCGCGAAAGCCTCATTTGCAACTACCAGCAGCTTAAAGAGAAAAAGAAGTCCACAGCCTTAATCCACGAAATCTCTACAAGAATATGTGCAACATACGCCCAACTGCTCCCGTAGATGTGTGGAGTGTGTGGGTAGTCAACAATGGACAAGGGTCTGGGTTGTAACATCTTGCATCTTTGATTTTTTGTAGCGCCACCGTGATCAGCATTCGTGCTCCAGGCAGTGGTGTTTGATGGTGCCCACGACCGTGCGCGAATGAGACAGAAGAACGTGGTTCAACTCTGGACAGACTAGGAGCTATGCAGCACATGCAATTTTCAGATGTCCCACACGCCCGTTGATACAAGGCAGGTGGGAAGCATTGCAAGAGTTCTGACGCGCAAAACTATAGAACCTCTTGTAGCAGCTTCATGTCCTGCTTTCAACGCATTCTTTACATGCAGGTTCATGTTCCATTAGACATTTCGCCTCGGTCTTGTTGTGCGCACCCTTGCCATGCCCCTGCATGGACACGGCCATTTGAAGACACATCTCCTACTTGTACTGACCCATGGAGGCGCTGATGTCTGCCAACTTTCCTTGCTGTGTCATGCGAGCCTTGACGCGGAAGCAGTGCTAAGTCAAAAGTTGATTAGTATTGTTTCTTCTTCAACTAGATGTCCCTGCAGGTGAAAAAATTGAACAACTTGAAACTTCATCAAGTCTAGAACCCGAAAAAGCCGACCGATGAATCCATCTGGACACCCGAACCCCCGGTGACTTTCCCGGCTGGTAGCTTAGCACATCGCTGCCGTGAGATTTCGCGATGTCCAACTCCTTGCGTCTTCCCATTGTGGCTCACACGCGCTCTATCCACAACAACCGCAACCACTTCGGATTGCAACCTGATACCGCTGGCCGTGTATAAGATGCGCAGGATTTTTTCCTCGTACGTAACATCCTGAACTGGAAAGACCTGAAGTTTCCTGTCCCTCTTTCCAGGTAGACACTTTCTTTTTTTCCATATGCTCGGTGACTCCGTGTTAGGATGGGGTATGTCTAGGGGCCAAGTTTGGAATCGTGGGCTCTTGCAAGCAAGGGCTTAAAAGAGGAATACCTTGGGAGTGAAAGCCTCACACAATCTAGATTTTCAGGATATTTGGAGGGAAGCATCACAGAAGTTGTGGTACTAGTGACCCTGTTCTAGACTTGCTTCTGAACACCCCTAACTCGCCTCATCCAAAAAGGATCCACCATGACTCTCTCTCAGACATCTCCGGCGCGGCTTGGCGGTCGGAGGGGCGGAACGGACAAGACCCTCCTCAAATGCCTAAGCCGGCATCTCTTGTTGCAGCATACTAAGGCACAGGATGGCACAGGCAGAGCTTTGTGTATCAACAGTATGTCCACGCACGCCGGCCCGTGAAGTTCTCTCGCTTAATGTCTGCAAAGATTTAGAACTAGCTGCGACTGCGAAAATCCAAGCGTTGGGGGAAAGAAGACCATTTACCCTGCAACGTCAATCTGGAATGGGTTGCGCGAATATATGTTCAAAGACTCATCTTTGCATGTTGGGTCGTATGTACCAACACCAAGGCTGCCTCAAGGCATAGATTGCCACCAGGAGATAAGCAATGAGGAAGACGGCCAGCGTCACCCCTGATGTCGCAGCATTTTGCACCGCGGCTTAGGGATTCCTTCAAAGATAAAGGTGCCTACGCCGCTCTTCCGGGCTAATAACCTGGATCAATATATTGGAACACAAGTAGAGGGAGCAGTATTCCATTGAATCTAGGGACATTCCGACATAATATGGAGGCCCAACACTGAGCCGGCCAAGCCCTTGTCAAGCGAGACACAGATTAGCCTGGCATCTAGAAATATCAACTGTGGAATCATGGCGTCCAAGCTTGGGAAATCTGATTGGGACCTGTTGCAGCGGTCTCTGTCAAAGCCCCGGAACTGAAGCAAAACTTCTCACGAAACACGCTTCACAGATCAACTGTCAACGCTGCAGTCCAGCAAGAAATTCAAATAAAGTCCAAGCCTCCCAACAACCTCCCACACACAACCTGCTTCTTTAGAGGCAAAACACATTCATACTCAAACTGAAGCGTTCTAAAGACTTGAACCCTAAAACCTGCGCCCTGGACTGAAGCGCCGAACTAAACAGGTGTGAAAACCACAGGCCCTACTGATCCACAGCCTATGGCAAGGATGACATTCTCGTACTGGTCCAGCCTTCCGGCAGCACATTCACAGCACGATCTGGTTGCCGATCGGTCTGCTAAGATTACCGAGAAGGTATACATTCAGGGTTGGGTTTTGCCCTGCTTGAAACTAGAATAAAGCCTGTAAATGTGAAGGGCAGGTCTTTGTAGGGCCCAATTTGGAGATTCCAGGTTGAGGGTAGCTATCACGTGAGCATGAGGCGTCCGCATTCTCTAGTTTCAGCCACACAGCTGGGAGTGTCTCAACATCATACCCACGCAATTCTGACAAGAGATTCCTATCATCTCTCATGAACTTCATGTCTCTAGGCTTCTGGCAATGATCGGCTGGACAGGTGCCATTCAAGAGGCCTCTTCGATATAACGTATCACATTATTGAACATAGGTGCTTGTATTATAACATACTCAAACAAGTTGCCCCGCGGCCAATTACATGCTGATGTAACCTCTTGCTCTTTCCTCCGGCGGAACCATAGTGCACTCGTCACAGGACCCGGGCACGGGCATGGATTAGCAGCTGATACAAGTAGCCGCCTAGACATCCTCTACGACTGCTTTTTGTATTACAGCAGTCATTGTTCCAGACTGCTGGACAGATGCTGGCGATGCAATCTTGACTTTTCTTGGAACACGTTGAAAATAGTAAGTTCAATTGCTTCCTGCTTCGATGTATGACCACAACAGTTTTTACTTATGCCTATCAAGCAGAGGAAGTGCCAGAGTGCTCCCGAGTGTATGATGCCCTGATCGCCCATCTTGGTATGTCCCGCCGCAGTCCCGCCCTCTGCTAGTGATCTGCAACTAACCCCCTAGTGTTTGCTTCTACGGACGGATTGCATCCCAAGGCACTGGAAAGCAGTGACGATGATGGTAGCTTTGTGCGAGCGATTCGTAAAGTCCTTGCCGGGATATGGAAGGCACAGTCTCCCAAAATCCTATCGTCCACAATCTATGTCCTTGACCAGTACGTGCCCCCCATCGATCAACATTTTGTGGGGGATCATGAAATTCCCAAACCTGAACATGACAAACACAGTAATGCTCCCATCAGTCCAACAATCTGGGAGCTATGACCAGCCGGGATTCAATATTTCAAGGTCGATCGAAGATCAGATCACACTCTCCAGAATCATGTGACAGCTTCTTCTGTGTCGCTTATAAAAGATCCATCTATTCGGAGATGCCCTGTAAGAAGGACCCTATTCTTAGCAAGAACTCAGATTTCTGAGAAAATGTGGTTTCACTTCGTGCATGGTTTCTTGCGGAGCACTGCGTCCCCACCCAAGCATTTCTTGAATGCAGTCCCCAGCCGTTACTAGCGTCCACGCACGCAGTATACCTGAAGCTAACGGTCTTCTTTTGCATGCCTGGTCCGGGCTTGTGAAAATAGGGTGTCCGTTTCCTTCTGGCATGCTTCGCGTAGGTAGCTTCTGCTGGGGCTTAGGGTTCCGGAGTGTCGGGGTTGCATCCGTTTAGTACCTGAGGGCTTTCCGAGTTGGACAATTAGGCTTCAGGAAGCAATCCGCTGTTCGGCTACGATCAACCCGCCGGCCAAACTTGCATTAATTGCCCAGGCTCGTTGTTGCGGGTGCTGGCAATATGATGTGTACCAACCTCGGTTGGGACCACTGCAACCGCACGGCCTAGAGGCCATAGGGCAATGGGTTGCAATTCACTAAAGGGAGCTATCCCACTTAGACCCCCACTTGAAGCCGGCCATTGGGGCCAGGCCTGAAGCTGTCCAAACCATTTGAAAGGTTATGTCAATCTTTCTTCAAGAGAGTCTCTTTCAAACTAGGGGTACACTGGGGACTGTAGGGGTATATAGGGGCTACAAGAGGATGATGCGGTCCCTCCGGAGAATCCTGTAGACGGAAACTCCCACACCATCGTCCGAGCAGCTGTCTTCATCTCTACCAGCCCACCATCAAAGTAAGCAGATGCTCCGTTCAGCTGCTTGCAGTTGGCCCTTGGGAAGCAGGGTTTCTCCAAAGAAGATATCTGAGGAACCCAAGGGATATGGGGTCATTGAGAAACGGGGGTTAGGATCCCTATTATTAAGGATGACATACACTTGCAATAGTCAAGGGTAAGGGCTTATACCAAGGGTTTCCCACATTGTGTTGAAAATGCGTGCCTCTAAAGGTCTCAGACTTCAAGAGGTTACTTCATAGATGCGGCTCTAGTGACCCAGTCTACGGTTGTCTTTCTGAGTGTTCAGGGTTTGTGGCGTAAGAACTACCTTCGGATGAATAGCTCGAGGTGCTGCATCGTTGCAAGGCCTTGTAAATCAGCGGTGTGCATCAGCTCTGCTCTACGGGTTCTTGACCACAAAGAATCAGTTATGAAAGTTCTGTGATTCAAAGCTGGGACTTTTGGTTGGGTCTCCTGCCTAGGTGGCAGCCTGGTGTATGGATAGGGGAAATGAACGGAAGTCAGCTTTGCTGGATGAGTCAGAATCCTCAACGATGAAGTTCACGAGCTTTCAAGTCGATGAGTGGTGGTGGCAGCAGTACTCGTAGTTGTAACAGTAGTGGTAGTGGTAGTCGCCGTAGCAGCAGCAGTAGTAGCAGTAGTTGCTGCAGTAGTAGTCGTCGTGGTGGTGGTGGTTGTTGTCGCTGTGGCTGTGGCTGTGGCTGTGGTTGTGGTCGTCGTGGCTGTCGTTGTCGTTGGGGTTGTCGTTGTGATTGCGGTTTGGTCGTCGTCGTCGTCGTCGTCGTCGTCGTCGTCTTAGTTATTGTTATTGTTCTTGTTGTTCCTGTTACTCTTGCTGTTGCAGTTGCAGTGCTGCTGTTGTCGTTGTTGTTGCTGCTACTGCTGTTGTTGGTGTTGTTGGTGCTGTTGCTGCTGCTGCTGCTGCTGCTGCTGCTGCTGCTGCTGCTGCTGTTTTTTTATTGTTGTTATACGACGGCTAATAATAATGGATAATGATAATAAGAATAGAAATAAGAGGCACAACAATGATAATAGCCATAGAGGTAACTTGTATATAGCAGTATGCACAGTGTGACCATTTGGCTGCCACAGTCGTGCGGATCTTGTCTTGAGACGTTTACCCTCGCTTTTCTTCGAGGAGGACCTGCTCATCCAGATAGGATTCCGCACACATGAAAATTTGCCTTCAAATTAGTATGGGAAGGGTATAAAATGACAAGCATGTTCAAGAGCCCAAGCAGCCTTGACTCGAAGCTCGCCCTCCACGCAGCTGTAAACAAGTCACATGTCAACATCTGGCTAAGTTATAGCCCGAAAGCAAGATTACAAACAGGAGACGTCAACGAATCTAATTTGAACGCTTGAGCCTTCATATGTTCCTCCTACATCCTTGCACTCTGAAATTGCAAATACGCTCCCGCATCGCGTCCCCATGTAGAACCAACATGGGATGTAGGGGAGGACTTGCTGCTAGCAGGAAAGTGGTTTGGATTGTAGAGAGAATATATGTACCGAAGTCCAGCATCCTCAACCCAAAGCCTGCACCCCCTCCGCCCTGATCCACTCTGAAGCCTGAATCTTCAAACCTCATCTTATGGCTGACGTCCAAACCCAAATTCCTCAACCCCATATGAACCGCACACACAGTCCTAGGCCCTAAGCAGTTGACTGCTTAGTAGTGCCAGCCAGGAAGCTCGTCATTGTCGTTGTTTGAATCCGGGTCACATGTGACGATAGTATCCTGCTGGCTGCAGGGACATCGAATCTCATGTAGGCTACATCCTGTTGACCTGGGGTCTCTCAGAGGTTGGGAGTTATTGCTGGGTGCCGATCCCGAATTTAGTGTGGTTGACAGTAGAAGACCTTTGGCCTTCATGTGCACCCAGTCAGCCTACCATTGCGGTCCAAGTTTCTGGTACTCAAGTTATATACTCCCATAATGCTGCCCGCTACCTTATAAGCACTCTTACAATGCTCACAACATTGGGTGACCCTCCGGGTAGCCTGTCACGAGACATCAACGCTCAGGGGCACAAGTTCAGTTCAGCGCTAAAGGCAAGAGGGATGAATCCTAAGCTATGCATGTGCGAGTTTGCCTAAATTCCGCATATGTTCCTGGGTATACTCGCTACAATAAGGAGTCGGCCTTTAGCGTGACCCTGATTGTGACAAAACCAATTGTCTGAACTTACCCAGCAGCTTTTAGGCAGTGTACTTAAAATTCGGAAGACGCCTACACCAAAGGGTCTCTAACCGCAAAACTTTCCTCCTGCATACCAACGTGGAACATTGGCATGTTCCAGTCCCCTCAAGCCTTGAACTTTCAACCCTAGGGTTCCTGAAGCTGGTATCTGACGCAGCAAGGGGACCAGATAGGTTAAGGGAACCAATGAAACAGGTCTCATCCCACAAGCGTACTATAAGGAACGGAAGCCTGAGGAAAGTGAAGCGTACCATTAATTGTGAACGTCAAAAGCCTCAGATCTTGAACACTCGTTTGAGCTGGAGATACAATGCAGCCCCCCGCCCGCTTGCGAGTCCTGATCCAAGTAGGCAAACTTCTCGACAAGGCGTCTTCCCTCCTGGTGTCTGAGTTGCAAACAGCCATGCTCTTTGCTGCTGAAACATGGAAGTGGGAGATGAGGCAAACCAATGTGAGAGAGCTAGACCAACACGAGATTGCAGACAACTAGGAATATTTCGCGTTTTCCGAGTTTCAAGGCAACTGTCATTGCACGCTTTGCGAACAATGATCCGGCAAGACCCAAGACCTAAACTCTCCTTGGTTCGCTGACAGCAGCCCCCACGATTCTCAATTGAAGCAGGCAAGGTTAGAACGATAAATTTCCTTAAGCTGATGGTTTCTTTTGGTTTTCAATCCAGTTCTACTCCTATGTGCAAAGACCCCACCGTCCGAAAGGAAGTACTGTGAAGGTTGAAATTACAAGGTTCAGGGCTTCGATTGGGGACTATGGGGGTGGTGTGTTGAAGCTGGGAGATTTTGCTGAAAAGGCCTCCGGGCCTGAAGAAAGGTCAGCTTGCAAACGTTGCCCGCTGCTGAAGCAGGCCATAGCCCTTTGGAGAATCTTCCCTGTATTCAAAACAGCCCGGCTTCAGTCCTCATCGTTGGGATTTGCAGGGGCGTTGAACAGCAGTGTGTGCCTGCAGTGCCGTAGCAGACAGGGCTGCCTCCCAGTAGTATGCACTCGGTAAGACAATGAGAACACATCTTGCACCTCTGTGACCCCCCTTGCAATTGCAGTTCCGAGGGCATAGGATATCTGAGGTGGCGCAAGATCCTGCACAGCAAGGATGCTCACAGGATGTGATTGCCCATAGCTTCCTGAAGGCTAGGGGTGATACACTACCTTGATTGCTCCAGGGAATAGCAACCTGGATTGTGAACGCCGATGCGCGGCTTTCATACGGTGAGTTCCGCAGCAATACGTCTTTTGCTGTTGTTGATTGCATGTTACCTCCAAGCCCTTACCCCGTAACACCCGGATTTGGAACCCTTCAATCCTCAGCTTTCAAGGTCCACGGGCTCAGTCATAAGGTGCTTGGGAATGTTGCTTCCACCCAGACCATGAGCGTAAACCACAAGGCACTAAATCCCAATCCTGAGTTCCAGCCCCCCAAGCACGAAGACCTAAACGCCAAACCCCTCTTCCTAAATCCAAAGCTCAAAAGCAAAAGCTCTAAATCCCAAAGCCAATGCTCTTTTTACCATCTCCAAACCGTTTGCCCCAGATCCTGAAGACCTTATCCCAGACTCTAAGCTTTCTTGCTACAGGGCTGCTCTTCAATGGGAAGGGGCACTGTTTCGTCACGCGACTTGAGCTGCACCTTGCGTGGGTTTCCTTTCTTCTTACGAAAGCTGTGGTTATCGGGTTCCTATGCGACTATGCAAGGATTAGAGAAGGGGTTGTTAGGGTTGGTGAGGATTAGATGTAGATTTCAGGGTTACACTCGCATGGGACGACGGATTGGGTCACCCGCTATGGTAGCAGGTCTCAAAGAACTTGAAACGAAAGAGCAAATACAACCCCTAAGGGGAGACCCATAATAACCATTGTTATCATTATCACTACGAGCAATGCTGTAATTATCATTTGTAATGATTACGCTTGTCATTGACACTGCTCTTATTACAATTTAGCCTATCTAATACGCATCACTCGTCCTCCGAGCGAGAGCGGCAGCTGAGGCCGCGTTGAAGGCAGCAAAAGTGACACACTGAGTGCTGAACAGCGCGCCCTGAACCCAACCCCCTACACACCTAGTCGTGAGAAGGCCCCCTGAAATATCTTTAGAACGTAGTTTCCATAAATGGGGGGGCCCCTATATCGACCCAATATACTATAATGCTTATTATAGGGACACCCACAATGTTAGGAAACCCCCAGAACTCTACAGAACTCATGCAGCAAGAACCTGCAGCTTCATCTGAAGTCTTGTCCTGGAACTAGACTCTCTAGACTCTAGACGTGAAAGCAGATTGACCTAGACACCAGAAACATAGGGTTTAGGTGTTTAGGATCATGGCTTAGGTCTACAAGGTTGGGGAAAGTTGTGGAAGTCACGTAGGCCTCCTGCAAGGCTGAACACATCTTACCGCGTGACAGGCAACTAACGATGACAGTGCATGGAAATAGATAGATGATCGATGCGCCTCGAGGGCACAATCCCTTTCTGAAGTCTTCGCACTGCGGATCCTGGTATTTGTCATGAACGCAAGAACGGAGAACTTTGTGTGTTAAACATACACCCAAAGTCAAGACGCGAATGTAACACTTGAAGCCCTCAAAGCCTAGAATCCCGCCGCCCGCCCTATGAAACACAGGTTTTTAGGTCATGGCACCAAGTTTGAGCGATCCGTCCCCTGGCGCCCATTTCCTGCACTGGGATCTGCCGGATGATGAAGATGAGGTGTCCAGGGTACAGAACAGGGTTTGGAGTCTTAAAAACGGCAGCGAGAAAGTATAATGTTGTCCAAGTGCCTGTATACGTCATACTTGAAGTCCAATTGATTGCAACATAGCTACTGTGTACGTGCAGAGAGTACTACAAGGAGGTTCAGACCACAATGTCTCAAATCGTCCGTTGGCCAGGGACCTACCCACAAGGTTGCGGCATCTGTGCCCTTGGGTTTGGTGTAAAGGTCTACATTTCGGCCTTGCCTGCATTGCCGTTGTTGTTGGCATCGGAGCCCGTCCACTGGAAATGAAGCAAAGTACCCGCCCTTGGCTTTGCTCACGGTCATGAAGCAAAATCAACAACATTGTTGTCGTCTGGCCTCACCCCAGCCAGCGTTTCCTCCACAGTTCGTGACACGACGGTCATCCCAATTCGGCTGTCTTTGAATTCCCCAACAACTGCAAGAGTACTGTGGTGCAAGCCCATCATAAATTCCTTGATGAACAAACCCGAAACCCTGTCCTCCTGGCACAACAATGTTCTAGCGTCCGTGAACTAACCTGAACCCTGTAACCTAGACTTCAAGGGCACCACCATGGCCCTATATCAGCACCTCTATGATGAGACTGACAGGCAGCTCAACTGACAACTCGGAGGGAACGAAGTCATACTCCACGGAGGGGTACACCTGTTTCAGACTTCACCCGTAAAAACCCAGAGTCCTGGATATGGAGTGCCCGTAGCAGCCGTATCATATTTACCAGGAGAATATCATGGGTCTATTGGCTCTTCGTGCTGATGCTCATAGGATTCAGGAGGTGACCAAGAATCCTTGTAGGTGACAGTCTACTCACCCATATACAGTCACAGAACATCAAAGCAACAGCAAGAAGTGGAGGTCCGAGATTCTCCAGCTAGAGGGCTTTAAGCTGGCTAGGTCCCTTCAGGGCCGATTTATCATGAAGCAGTCCGTTACAGAGCCATCTGCTGCATCCTTGAAAGGCCCTATAACTTCATTGGCAAATTCTATTGCTGCACAGAGTTGTATGCGGACCGTTTGGACCATTCGTGCCTTGCTTTCAACAATGCAGCTTCGGCGCTTCACTCTAACTTTGCCTAATCGAAATTCCGTGTTGTATGTTGGTGCTTCTTGGAAATGAAGGGATGTACAAAATCGGGATTCTTAGAGGGACTAATGTCTGGTTTACGGATCTGTCCCTTGTTCTTTGCACAGTGGCTGGGCATTCTTCTTGAACTCAGCATCTGCATTTCCTACCTGGATGTTCCAGCCTTATAGCATCATGGGCGGCACCTGAAGACAGTACTGCTAGACGGGCGTCTTCATAGCAAACTGCAAGCCCAAACCAGTAAGCCCGCTACCGAAAATGCAGAAATACTTTGCAAACACATGTCGCGTCAGCTTTCCCAAGAATTTTTATACCATTAGGAGTGTATCTTACCGCACTGCCTGAAGTTTGGAGGTTCTCTACTCAGTCATGGTCAGTTCCAGCCTGTACGATGTTTCCACGCCGACCGCCTTAGCTAAGCGCATGGGAAATACGGCAAATACTGAAGCATCATGGCTAATGGTAAAGATGTTGGCGATAACGATGGTAACAAACCATCCCAAACAGGGTGCCAACTAAGACAGACATGATGACCTCGAGGTCGTGAAGCACACCAACTCCGCTCCCTGACGCAGACCGCAGAGTGAAACTATGCATAGTGGCACCAATGTGCACATCTCAAAACTCAGAGCTGTCCCTATGATACCATGCTGAACGAGCATGATCTGTATTTCCCTGAACCAGCCGCCAAAGCATGTCATGATGTATTGTTGCTGCATATGTCTGGCAGGTGCACTATATATCCAACAGCGTATCCCATATGGGATTCAGTTCAAGATAGTCAACATCTCCCAGCCATGTACGGCCAATGCGTGACCCCTGGATCTTAAAGTTTGCAAGCGGGCCGTTTACACTCAACCATACTTGCTCCATGCTACGCACGTTGTAGTTGATGATGCGCTTGCCGACAGGAACGTCAGAGGGGCGCTCCAAGACCTGCATGGGGGTGAACCTACAAGGTCCAAATATCCATACGGTACAAATGTTCGCTCCGATTGGGTTCCTTTTTGGATGCCATACAACCTGAAAGACTATGTACTATTTGGGCATTTGGACCTTTAGGATCAGGTATCGGAGCTTGTCAGGGCAGAGTCTATAAGGCACAGTCCAGGACAGATTCACATGAATATAGCACGGGGCTTGTTCAGGGCTGTGGCTGAGGGGATGGAGGTGAGAGCATTTGCAATCAGGAAGTTGCATGGAATTGACGAAGCGCGTCCTCGTGTTGAACTTACTACCTATCTGTTCAACTCTTCATGGACCTGGGGACGTGGCCCTAGTGAAGCATTTAGATCCATCATGGGCTCATCCAGAGTGCAGGCTGCTTCTGTTGGCTTGGCCTCTGGAGGCACATTCCGGAGCCTTCTACAATAACAACAGCAGAACACAAACCAGCGTGAGTGGAAGTTCCGTCAATTCCGCAAATACAGGATGTGAAGGTGGACACCTGCGTTCTTGTGAGAGACCATCGGCATCATTGTTTTTCCGGAGTTTCGTGTTATAGAAAATTCCAACGAGGATAGTAAGCGGAACGCGCAACAGCAGCAAGAACAACAGCAAGGCATATAAAACTGAGAACAACTTATAGTCATTAGTGGGAGCCATGTTAGTGGAAGTCTCTAGCCCGTGCAGCGGAGAGCCTAAACCCTCTCCTGCCCCTCTATGAATGCCATGTGCACACAACGCTTTAGGAATGTCCAAAACAACACAAAGGACATTGTCAAAAGAGTGTTGCCTTTAGCTCCAGGGACCCTAGAGAAGAATTGGATGACACAGGGATTGCGCGGGTTCCCTTCTAGGGACTGAATACCCAATTTTGGGAAGACCCTACAACCGTCTGCCCACCGGCGGCGTTTGCTGTGTTTGCTGAAGCACTCTAGGCACCAGGCCAGAAAGCTGTGCGTGCGATCCTCGAATGTCCTGCCGTACCTTGCTGCTACTTGCGCACTTTTCGAGGTCAAACAAATCTGGGATTCTCAATCTGTTTTGAGGAATCCTGTTTCATTGACAAACTTCTGAGTTTCCCGCTGGATGGAGGCCTGGGTGATGTTTACTTTTCCCTGCAGGACTTTGAACAAACTTCTCATGTTACATGGCAAACGGCGCTTGCTTTTTGGACCGTGACCTCCTCAAGCTGTCAGACTTCAACCGAACTAACTAAATTTCGTGCAGGAGATTGAACAAGCACTCATAGCAATCTCTTCTGCCCAAAAGCAATTTGCAAGCATTGATCACATGATTCAGGCCCCAGTGCATAGGGCTTTACTGGTTTCTTGGCTTCCGGCCAATCGCTCATGAGTCTCCAGGCGGCAGTATGCTTTCTAAATGTGGGAAGCTGCATCGTTTTCCCCATTGCAAGTCGAACCAGCACCTCAAACTGCCACAAAAGCGTCTAAGACAAAACCACCAAATAATCCACAGACTAACTTTGCCGGCAACGCCTCAAACATCAGCGCTATCTGCTACCCGTGTAATGCGCTCCGAAAATGTCCGGTTTTTTCTTAGCAGGTCTGCCTAAGAGACCCTAGACACCATCTACTCCAGGGGCAATGGGAATATACATTCGACATTGTCGGATTAACATTGTATCAACACCTGTTGGAGGTTTATGGGTGCTTTTGAACTGCGCTGTAAGTAGAAAGGCGTAGCCATGATCATCTTGTCTTCAACTCCCTCGTCACCCATGAACCTGCTGGTACTGTACTCAATGTATCATGACTTGACGCGCCGTAGACCGAGGTACTTCATGGCCGTTATACCTAGCCTTGGAGGTGCAACAGTACGGAAACCTCAGTTTACTGAAAGCCATGAAGATTTCCAAGCAGTCAAGATAGCCTGATGGGCCCTGATCTAGGTAGGCATTCAGCCCAAAGCCCAAAACAGCGTCGGCCCTGAACTCTGTTGACCCCAAATTGCGGCTGGCGGCTGATTGGTGTTGACCTGCAGCTGCAACAGGCCTCTGATGAACCATCATAAGAGTGTATAGGGTTTCTCAAGTTTGTAAGAAGAGGCGAAATGATTGTGGTGGTGGTAGTAGTAGTAGTAGTAGTAGTAATAGTTGTGGTAGTAGTAGCAGTAGGAGGAGGAGTAGTAGTAGGAGTAGTAGTAGTAGTAGCAGCAGCAGCAGATAGCCTGGGGCTGTCCAAGCACGTATCCAACCCACAGAAAAAGGTTTGTCTTCATGTCGCAGTCACTGCAACGAACGTATCACCTTCCCCCGCTTCAGTGCGTCCCCAAACTCCCCCCCCACACTGAGACCTGCAGTTCAGGCTTCGCGGATTAAACCCAATGAAATGTCAGCTGACAAGACTTCATCTGCTATCTCTCGATGCATGATTGCTAACTGCTAACGTTGCGGCGTCATGTTGTTCTTGTTCTTACGAGCTTCTCCAGAAGTGGTTTTTGTATGACTGCTAGTCACACTGCAAGATACACACAGCGCGAATGTACCCAACAAGCAGGCTCTTAGGATAGTTGCGCGCCCCTTCTGGGATCTTCGGGCATGCTCCGGCAAACCACGGAAGTCTAGGTCATACTTCAACTCCTCCCATGTCAATGCCCTGCTAGGAATCAAACAGGCAAAGCGGTTAGCATTTTATATGACTGAGCCTTAGCCACCAAGCCCCAGTCCCAGCACACAAAGATCCTCAGTGAGGATGCGTAGATTTTCGCTCCCAACCACACATGTGCGATCAGCTTGTCCCGCTCTACACGCGCAACCCTGAATTTAGGACGTGGATGCCTCAGGTAAGGACGACAGTAACGCTTCAAGTATCCACTTGGCTATCGCTGGGCCCAAAGGCACATATGTCTGAGCCAATGTGGGCAGTAGACACTTGGGCTTTCAGGGGGGGCGGAAAGTATGAGGTCGGAGGGCGTGTCTTCTCGGAGCCGTCTTCGAGGTTCAGCCAATCAGCCACCTTGGCTATCTTTCCGAGAAAATTTAAACGTGCTCCTCGAAATATCATCAGGTGCTAGGATATGGCATATAGTGTGACTCCCAGAAACACTTCCTGAAGGATGCTTCAGGTCTGAAGTGCAGGGTTGGGAAGTCAGGGCTTGGAAGCCTTTGTAGCTTAGCAACTGTGGGTGTTTTTACCACTCCTTCTACTGTGCCGTATTGGCTAGGGTGCCACTTCGTTGGGAGCTCACTTGTTGCTTGTGCTGTACCTTAGAATTCAAGAGGCAGAGTGGCCTTTGCTGCAGTTCTGCATCTTTAGGCGTGACAACTGAATAGGCATACTGCTTTTTTGAAAGATTATATGCATTTTCGGTCAGACCCTGCCAAATTGTTACCAGGTTAACGACATACTTGACGATGCTGCACCGCCTACTTCAACAAGAATTGCCGGGCTCCCCGCTCAGAATGTCTGCTTCTTCGGAAAATGTAGAACAGGTGTTGTAAGATATACGTGCATGAGCCAACCTCCTATGGTGCTATAGGCTTGTACGGGGCGTCGCGTGCGTTCCTAAGCTTTGAAGCCAGAACCCCAAGAGTGGCAATGAACATAAATGAGCAATAGATGTCGTAGTAGTAATACTGATAATAACAATGATAATATTTCTAACAATCGATATCAGCTGTAATAAGAATAGTACTACTAGTACGATTACGTAATAGTACTACAACTAGCTAGTAATAGTACTAATGCGAATACTAATAATGATTCGAGTCGCTGGATTGTTGGCCAGAGGAATGGGAACGCTTGGGCGCCCCTTGAAGATACTGCCAGGGGGCCGAGAGATGTGCTTGGTGGTTGAAACCCTGAAGCCAATAAACAATGTTGCCCGATTTCTTTATATTCTTGGGTCGCAGGTAAAGACAGTTGCAGAGGATCTGTGGGCCGATGGTCCACTGTAGAGGTACTAGTTTGAGTTCATGTTCAATTTCGGATTTTGGTTGCAGGGCTTGGAAATTGGTGGCAAACTCTGTGGAGCTCAGATATCGGAAATGAAAAATGCCGCTTGTGCAAGGACTTCCGATTCTGTCTCCGATGGCTGGCGGCATCAGAACTTTAAACTGCAACTACCATAGCTGCATACGCTGGCTTAAGGAAAACCTTCCATTCAAGTCAAAGCGTGTCAAGGCATCTTACGTTCAAGCCGAGGTTGCTGCTGCCCCGCTACCTTCAAAGAACTGGAGCAACCCAGGACCCTGTGATGTTAAGAGCAAGGAAACAATCACGAATCCCTGCAGCAATAAAGGTCCTTACCTTACCCCTCAAATCTCAGAAAACTAAACTTTCCCTCCCCAACACAGACATGGAACACTCGAACGGGCCTCTCAAAGACTATGGCCATGGTCTGTCTACTCTGAGAGGCCTATGTTTAATGTCTGCTTGTGGGAGGATGTGGTCCTGCGGCGTCGCGTGTTTGGCTGCGGGTCATTGAAGCGTTGGTCCTCCAGATGAATTTCGCAGGATATTGTTGGGGATTGGGGGATTCACTCAGAGATGATATTGTGAGGATTGTCTTCCCAAAGCCGTCTGAGGAGCAGCCAGAATGCTCAGTTACGCTTGCACAAGGCTATAATATAGACTTGAGGGCCAGGGTCCAAGGTTGATACCATCCAACATCTGAAAGAAACCGTTTACCGCACTGACCCTCTCCTTGCTGGTCCTGAAGGGGGAGTGGGCGAGTGAATCCTGTAATGATCTCTACCTAACACCATCTGCACCGCTGTTGCCCACCACTTCCCCTTTAAAGCGCCAGGAACCCACCTCAAGATGCGCTTTGACTTCCAAAACTGCAGGTTCTGCGCATCAGGAGTTCTTGAGGCGCCGGCACCCGAAACTCTAACCTCGGTACTTTGTATGCCCAGGCCCGAAACTCAAAATCTCAACATCTGAGGTCCTAGAAGCCCAAAACCCAGGACTCAAAACATAAAAGCGCTGAGACCCAGATCGAATTTGAGCCCTGCTGCGAGCCCGGAACTCAAAAAAACCTAAAGCCCAAAATTGCAAGCCGAAAAATGGCAGAAAGTGTCTCCGATTATATCCCAAGGATTCCCAAGGTCTCTACTTGCATGGAACTTAGTTGAGCACATTTGGGCGGTTATCACCCTTCTTATGATCCCTGAGATGGCCTTGTAGAGGTTATGCCATGTTTTATGGGTAGGGTTATAGCCCAGTTATTTGCAGGTATTATAATGTCAAATCATTCTCAAATTCAGATTCCTTGTTTTGAACGACCCTAACGCCTACATGCCTTCATGCCCCTAATCCCCCTACGCATCCCACAACTCCCCTTTAAAGAGCAGTGACTTGAGAAGCCCCACCATGAACTGATCCCAGTGTCCATGAAGAAGGCATCGGCCAGACCACCTGAAGGCCGTCATGCTCAGTTTAAGGTTTGGATTTTAGGGTCCAGGGGGTTTCGTGTTGAGAGTTTTAGTGTTTTGAATTGTAGGTTTAGGGTTTGGGGCTTGGAGTTGGGGGGGTTGACTGTGGTGTTTGCAAAGCAAGATTCAGGTGGTGTTCCTGATTTGGAGTTTAGGCTTCGGGTTCGGGGTTTGGGGTTTTAACATGATGAAGAGGAGGCTCGAAGCTGGCATGTGTATATGAACGTAGCCGGCTTTCAGCAGGCTTCAGGCCGCCAAGGTGCACCGCAAGCACGTGTGTTTTCTTTTCCCGCACCAGAAGAGACACGCCCAGCCAAATTATAACCCTGACCCTAGCTCCCAAATCCTAAGCCTTCAAGCCCTCAATCCTGAGCCCTCAGCCTCCTAAATCCTATAAAGCCTGCAGTGCGAGCCCTCACTGAATCCTAAACCTCTCATTGAAAACTCCTCGGGCCTGAAAGCTCGGTGCCTTCAACTTTGGGATGTGCCAGGGAGCCATAGGTGAAGTCCCCTAGCAGAAGGACTTCGTCCAGGGTGTTCAGAGGATTTCAGAGCGGAGTTGTGAGGGCGGAGTGGTGAGGGTTCGGGCAGGGGCAAGAGCCTGATGCACGAGATGCGGTTGCGGTGAGGGCCTTGGCGTTTGATGCACTGGAAACTCCAGATGTCCGAGTCTGGGCCTCGTAACCGAGCTGCATATAGCGGGAAAGGAAACCTTATGATGTGCGACGCTCAATGTCACAGGGAAGTGCAGGAAGACTGAAGGAGACTTGCTTGGCATACGGGCTCCTCGTCCAAGGCTTGGAAATCTCTCATCCGAACACAATTCCTCGAACTCAACCGAAAACGTGCCTCTTCTCGGCAAACGACCTGGAGAAGTTCTGAAGCTCACGCCGTGCTCCATAGAACATAGACCTTCACCTGAAGCAACTTTGGCCCCTGCACCATCAATCTGTACATCCTGTAAGTTGAGCCGTTCACCTCAAATCCTGCTCGAATGAATTATGTTGCAAGTAAGTTACGGACCCATCTGGCGAATCCACGACATATGCATACGCATAACACTGCACCATACTGCACCCCCACACTGTTCACACCGCGTTATATTTCGATAGAACCGCCGAATCACCATCCACCCTAAACCCTGCGACACCTACATGGGAACTTCTTGAAATTACCTCTTCATCTTTGACTCCTATAAACGCGCACCCCTCATCACCACTTGTGATCCCCATGTATCCTATGCTCCCCCCAATTTGAGAAAGGCCCATTTGACCATGGCAGGGGGATGGTCCCGGCCTGTGGAGATGTTGTACCTGATGCGGAGCACAGTTCGGCCTGTCAAAGGCTTTAGGGTTCAAGGCTTACCCTACACTATGAATATTTTGTACTTGGACCCTTAAATCTATAGGGCTCAGTGGGAGAAACCTGACGACACCAGAGAGGGGGTGACATCTTTCATGTCTTGTCGGTTTTGAGGCGAGCATGCAAGGAATTGGTTAAGGTGAAGAGTCTAGCCTCTATGGCTCTAGGGATTCGGTTGGTGCTTTCGGTATGTACGTAGCAACCCGTAGCTTTAAGCTTTGAACCATGGGCCACCTTTATGGTTTACGAGTTTCGGATCCTTGTATGGTAGGACTTTTGTTGGTCCAATTTTGGGTCACTAGTATAATACGGACCCTTACGATCATAATTTCAACCCCATAGATGTATTGAAATTAGCTACAATCTGGTACGGCGCAACCTCAATGCGAGGCCCATACTCAGGACCCAGAAGGCAGTGCTAACATAGGGGCCGTGGCTAGAGCATTGAAGGAGCTTATCTGCGCTCAGAGCTAGGGATGGGCCCGCGCTGCAGGCCTTAAGCATACCCTTTGAGATCCCAAGACAAGCGTACCAGGCTGAACGCACAAAGGGTAACAGTGGTGGGAGCACCTTGTCACATGCATCAATCACAGACCGAGCAATGAAGCTCATAGGACACTTTGAAGATCCGAAACGGTCAAAACCAGCTAAGAAGACGATGCTTACGGCCACCACGCTCACGAAGCAGATTGATCTGATGCTCACGGGAGGACTGGGGAAGGGGTCTGGCTGTTCCGGTTGGGAAGCGATGGAGATTTGCAAGCTTTGGCCCAGAGTGGTGGCTGTCGCGTTCTAAGACCCAGAGTCGGTTTTAAGGACAGCTGAGCCCTCCCGCAATCAAATTATGCCAGCTGTACCTTAACGAAATGTTGAAATCCTTCTCCCCTATGCCACTGAAAGAACCCTGAAGTGACCCTAAGCACTGAAAACCAAGCCGCGTGTCATTCATCCTAAGCCCTCAGCCCAAGCCTTTCAGATGATTGGGGATCTTCCACAAGTAGTAGTGTGGTTGGCCTCAGAGAAGCAAAACGAAGTCACAAAGCTTAAGGTTCAGGATTTACTCATGCAGGCGCATAGCGAGCCAGAGTTCGGTGCAGCGGTCGTGCTTAGCCCCTTCCCTACCTGATGTTGGCCCAAAAAGTACCTGGGACCCCAAGAAAGTCAAAGCAAGAAACCACCAGTGGAGCTGAGACGGCTTGCTCAACATGGCAAACTTGCTGAAAGAAACACAGTTGGGTTCGCCGGGCGTCCATTTCTGACATTGCCATTGTGGTTGTCGCGACTTTGGATGCCACCTGAGCTGTGGTTGAAGAGGAGTCAGTTCAGGATCATGGGAGGTCGCATGAGCTGGCGCCAAGATTACTTATATATCGTAATGATGGAATTCATGTGTCCTTTTGCAGGTTTGGGGGACATGGGACATGCGGACCTTACCTTCAGGGCAGGGGAGAAAAGAGAGAGAGAGAGAGAGATAGAGCGAGGGAGAGGGAGAGAGAGAGAGAGAGAGAGAGAGAGAGAGTGAGAGAGAGAGCGAAAGAGATATAGAGAAAGAGAGA